GTCCACTCAAGAGTTTCAAAATACAGAATGATTATCAGGTGTATAATTTTTTACAATTCTAATTTCTGGAGTATTAAAAGGTTAGATTGCACCATTAGGTTGACTGTGAGCACAGGTGCTGATTAAGTTGATTCACTGAGGCAATTACAGCCAGATCCCCTTTAATTACTGTGGGTTTTATTGCAACCGCGTGGTAATGGTGCACAGGCCCTGCAGGAGTTTTAGATGGAGATGAGATTTCAAAGTATCACACATAGACACAAATCTACAGGAAGGAGGATACCTTTCACTCACTCCCACCTGTGCGTGTGCACACACATACACACACACACACACACACACACACACACACACACACATACACAAAACAATGATGATCTCTCTGTCACACACTCATTCACAGTCACACGCATATACCCTCATTTTCCTGAGGCAGTCGTTGGACAAAGCTTACAGGCCACAGCATTGCAGAGACTGATGTTAGTTACAATCTAAGAGTTGGGTAGCGAAAATACGTGTGTCTTTTAGTGTGTGTGTGTGTGTGTGTGTGTGGTGGATGATACACACTCCTAAATTCATAGCATGTCCTGCCATACACATTTACACACACAGACAGGCTGACACCCTCATAACCTCCACCCTCCAATTCACACATACACACTTGCCACCCTGCTCAACACAGGCATGTAATAAGAAACAAGTCGACAGCTACACAGCAGGCAATATCCCCTGCCTTCAGCCTCTGCGCCTGTTTCGGATGCATCTGGTTAGTAAAAGCTGACAGAGGGCCGGCCATGCCTCAGAGGACAGCAGAATGAGGAATTTCGGCGTTCCTCCACATCACCCCTGAGATACAGGAAACACAGGAGTGCCCCCGCCCCCAACACACACACACATACGCAACCTGTGATGTGCTCCTAAGATTCCCTGTCACCAGGAATGGAAATCGAAAGTGGTACACACGTCCGTTATCTAAATGTTAACTCCAGTGCCCTTCTTGTTGTCACAGCCGGGCAAGGTTAGCCAACACAAGAGGAGCTTTGCTTTGGGCCTCTGCCATGGTACACTCATCTCAGTGGGAAGAGAGGAAGACTGATGCAAAATAATCACAGTGAAAAACAAATTCAGCCCCCTCTCATGAGGTTTGCAGCATTATTTAGGTAAAGTAAAGCAAGGAAGGAATTTCCTCACTGATCTATAATGCTACATAGCACATTTACTTGTTTTTTGATTGCCTCTCCATATTAAATCTAAATGAAAAGGAATGAAATTATGACGACGTCCTCACTGACCTTGTCCGAGGAGTCATTTCAATTTAAATAATGATTATTTACAACAGGTTCTAAAGTTGCTTTTTCACAGTAGCTTGCCATCTTTTAGTGTAGCGATCGACTTAGGACCAGGATCGATATATTTAAATGTTTATTTCTAAACTATAATAATTAAAAAGAGATTGTGTCCTTTTTTGGCACTTTTTGTGTGCATGAGGACAAAAGTACATTTTCTTGAAACTTGTCCCAATCAGTGACCCTGTGAGCCACAAACGGCAAGACAACACTTCAGCAAATTAATTTTGAGTTAAAGGTGCAAGAGTCGAGATTTGGAGCATTTCGATTGCCTCTCAACGGCTCTCAACATGTCGACGGTGAGCTAGCTCATAGCTAATTGTGCTAACAGCACTAACAGTGCAAACTACGGCGAAAGTGTCGACAGAGCTAACAGTGTTTACCTGAGGGAAGGCGTTATCAGCTGTAGCTGCCGTATGAGAGCAGTGCAGAGCAGCAGCCATGAGCTCACCCGTGGGGCACGCTCACATGCGCAAACATGCAGTGAAGGCAGACACGGCCGGGCCCAGCTATTGTATGTCTTGGTGGATTACAGCAAACACAGAGGGAGTGTGACTTCATTCTCTACTCAAGTAAATTTTACTCCACTATATTTGTACATAGCAAATAGTTGCTTGCTGCGATATTGCTCAGAATGTTAGATACAGCTCCTCTAAATCAGGGTAAAATGTTTGAATTTACTAACACTACACTATTAGGAACGCTTCAACAAAAATAATACGCAAAATGACATAGAAACTAATCAAATTGAAACAAAGGATCGTGTTTCACTACAAACTTTTTTTTTAAACTTAATTAATTAATTTTGTTAGCTTTGAATTACAATTTATTTGTAATAATTAAAAACATATATAATATTTCAAAACAATAAAGGAATGTACCCGACCATCAACTCAAAAACATGAATACACTAAAAGTCAATAGCCATTGAATAGTTGCTAAGTCTAGTCTATGGTTCATTATAAGGTGTCATAGCTTTTGCCGCCATGTTTATTCGAAGAATGCACTGGTGATTCCGAAAAGAATATGTTACAAGAAAAGCAGTTTTATTAAACGTGTTTCTCCTGTTTGATTCCCGGGGGTGCAAAAAAAGTTGAAGAACCTTTGACCTTATATGTGTTGTGGGTCATGTTCACTTAAAGCTCCTGTCCTGTGTTGTGCTGATTAATCACAGCATCATGACATCGGTCTGGCTTCAACCCAGAAGAGATGTGTGAGGCATGCAATGCCTCAGCACTTCTCCAGGAGCTCCTGTGAACAGGATAGATAGGGGATGAGTTGGTGGAAGGAGACGGGTGGAGACAAGTGGACAGTTGGGTGGACAGACTTGAGACTCTGAATGCAGTCTGATGCAGCGCAGGCGGTATTTACGCTCCGACGGCTGCAGGATCCGGGAGCCGGATATATTTAGCCGCCTAGAGATATCACGCCGAGATGAGATTTCAAAGTGAAGTACCTGTTTGAAGATGCATGGCATTCCACAAGGGTGGGCAAGGGCTACTGGGTATAAATCTAGCACCCCTGCACCTGGTGTGAAGACAGGAAGGAAGTGTGACACCTAAGATTTAGAATGACTTACACACAAGACGTACATATGTAAACTACACACTCATCCATATAAATTTACACACTACTCATGAATGGAAAAGACTGTACACATCATTTTTGAGCTTCTTCACATCCACACACACACACACATTCACACTCTCATACACATACATACACAGACTGTGCATATTACATTTCAACCGTGTCGTTCCCTTTTTGTTAAATGTAATTCTTCTGGATGTTCTCAGTGTCATCCATCATGGTCTGATCTTGGCTGGAGGAGATCCCAAGAACCACGGGGTTAGAGGGAATAGAATCGACGCTTTCTGGTGTATCACAGACACCGTCAATACACCTGAAAGAGACAGTTTTCATTACATTGTCACAGAAAAGAAAACCATTTAATGTGTTGACACTGTTAGCATGAGACGGAGAAAGCTTAACACACCCCACTCAGTACTGAGAATATGTGTATTCCCCATAGGCCTGTAAGGGAGGTAACACATCAAAAAGCACCTTCTTGCATTATATATGTTAAAACGGTACCATTTATTTCACAGCAAAAATATTTATGATTAATCTTGTATTACATGCACTGATATTGAGAGATCTGCATCCTTCTTTTTCCAGTTATGTCCAAAACCTTAATTTTAAAGAAATTCTTTCACAGATTTCTTTTAAGTTGTTGACAAATGCATAAAGGTGTCAGTGTCCTTTCCTCTTTCCTCTCCCATTTTCTGTGTCAATTTGAAGATAGCATCTACAAACTCAACCTTTAACAGCTTATCATGGTATCAAGATTCACCCAGCTGCTCTCAGATCACACCTTTGGTTTGTTGGTAAAGTCCCAAAGGTCTCCTTGTCCCAGTGAAGCCTGTAGGACTAAACCTAATCAGGGGTTTATCCCTAATACAGGTATGATCTTAAGATATGAGAAGGCCCCTTCCCTGTTGATCCCTCTAAGGGCTGCATGCCACAAGCCATTTCCTCTTGCAGATGACACCAAAATAAAATCTTTATTGGGCGTCTCTGGGTCTTTACGCGCATCCCCCCCGTCATCCATCCATCCATCTGTGGAACAGAGGAATGACTCTCATGGACTCCCTCTTTGTGAGGAATTTTCCCGGCTGCAGATTAGATTTTCAGGAATCTGCAATGTCAATGACACTTTAGGCAGCTGCGCTAAACGGGGGGAGCATAGTGTATGTGTCTGTATGTGTGTGATCGGCTTGCTTTGTAAAGCCACCACTCGCTTATTGCATTTCCCTCGAGCCTGTGACTCATTAATCAAATATTCATACATCCCCTGTAAATACATGGCGAACACAGACAACCCTCAGAGCGCTGTGTGCCCCCCAGCACAAATGCTCTTTCATGTTTCAGACAAAAATCCCCAAATGTCTCACCCCCTCCCTACGCTTCCCTCCTGCCCGTTCAACCCTTCCATCTTCCAAAGTTGGAGAATGTCGCTGGTCCTTTTGCTTCTGCATACTCGATGTTCCCGCTCTGTCCACACAGCCGGTCGGCCGTCCATAAAAAGAAAAAAACAAAACGGACGAACACACAGATCAGACGGGGGATCTAAATGATGCCTTTATGTGTTTTGCCATTGCTTCTCCGTGGTAGAGAAGAAAACAGATGAGGGGATTCTTCTTCGTTTCTGTCCATCCATCCTCACCCTTGCCCCGGCTCTCTCACACAAGGGACAGTTCCATCCTTTTAAAAAGCAAGGCTCATCATAATACAAGAATTTGTATTGTACAGAAAAACAGTCCGGCATAGCTCAAACTAAGGGGGAAACACACAGATTATCCATGGTAACAGAGCTTTGCACACAAGGATATTTTCTTTTCCTCTGCAGAGGAACACAATTGCTGCCAGTGTCACTGGGTCACATTTTTTCCGGTCCCTGGTTAATGGGCTGTAGAGATGGTTAGCACGTACGATTAGTTTTAATCTATTACATTTGACCGGGAGAGAAAGGGATTGAATGCATTTCAACACACCACTGAGGTTTGCATCGAGCACTGAAAATGAAGCAAACACTTTTTTTTGTCACTTCAAATGCTTCAAGTGGACCCAAAAGAAGCAAACGGATTAAGAAAGTCAAATATTTTTCACTTTATTAAACTTTTTGACGTGTTATTAAACATATTATACAGTTAATTTATTCAAAAAGACATGCACGTCCTGTAATGCAGGAAAGCGCATGAAAAATATACATCAGTCAGAATACTTCAGTCTTTTTGAAATGAAAAATCTAAGTGCATGACAAGTTTTGCAACCTAACATGTGTTCGTGTAGTTCTTCATTTCAAGTGTATGAAGGTGTAGATACTGTAAAGGTGTTCCGTAGGAACGGCAACAGATCATTTAGTCACTCACTGCTGGAGACTGGAAATAAGGAAAAAAAACATTAACATAACATTGAGTACCACTCTAAAACACACAAGACAAGCAAATAATTATACCATCACACAACACCATCACATGCTATTCCTCCGACTAAGAAATCAGCTAAAAAGATGTGTTGGCACAATTATGAAGAAAGTGTCCTTTAAAGCATGTGTCCCACATGCTACTGCTGGTGACGTGTCGGGTGAAGAATTCATCTTGTTTGAGTTTTGTGGCACAGAAGTTTGGAAAAGTTACTTTGCTCCGTCATCAGAGAGCCCTCGGCCCATATTATTTGAGGCTTTTACAATACTCCTTTTAGCCCAGTGCTAACCACAGTTAAGAGACGTTTGTCGAAATACTGCAGATGCAGCCCTGTGAAAGGATTTTAAAGTGGACCAACGCCATACGACACTGTTACGTCGTTGTGGTGTTGTGCTGAACTGGACCTTATAATCATTATAAGCAAATCCCTTTGAGACTTCCGACACCAAATCTCTCAAAATTGGACGTGTCAATATAGTCGCTTTCAACAGTTTGCCTTTAAGTCCATATAACAAATAAATGGTGCAAAATGAACAGTATTCCTCTTCTTCAGAGGACTATGTAAAACATTTGAAGTCACTAAATTAAGCAGAGCACCAAAAGCTTCCTGACCAAATGTTAAGCAACAGTTCACATTTCCAGGCAAAAAATAAATAAATACTATAATAAGTTTTCAGGATGTGTTCACCAAGTTACTGTGGTTTTAAAAAGTTCCATAACCTTCGGTGTCACAACAAGCTCAGACATGAGGCTTTGGATATCAGCAGTTCGATTCATTAAAAGAAGAAGTTCCCCGTCTGTAGTCTTTTAAACAGCGCCGTCAAAGCAGCACAAAGTCCCCGGTAGTGGTGACCGTCCTCCGCGGGTCACGGATGAAGGGCCATTCTCTCTTCTCCGAGGTCAGGCCTGCAGACAGGTCGTAATCTCTGCCATGACCTTGCATGAAAGTGAACACGGGGTATTTCTCCTTTGCTGACGGCTGCAGCACCTGGAACAACAACAGTGTTTCAGAGGAGCGCTAGCGTTGCGCCATCCTGTACACTTCATAACAGTTTGCTTTCAATTTCATCACTTAACCTAACGAGTGGTATCTTATTGCACCTTAATCATTCCCTCTTAGAAATTACAGTATATTCAGTGTCGTATAATTTCTTTAGAGGCTGGTTTACAACATCTACCCAACATGTTGACTGGTCGGAGAAGCAAAGTAAGAAAAGATTCATGGCTAAATGGTGCCACCTACTGGTCAATATTTACCACACCGATCACACATTTGCAGGGCACAAAACAGAATTAAAATAGCATGGTGATAATAATAATTATTGTGAAATGTTGGCGCTGTGAAGTCATTTTAAGGAGTCCTGTGTTAAGGCAGCACTACTCCCCACCTTAGACAGCTCCTGGCTGATTCTCTCATAGTCTCGAGCATTTCTAGAGTAGAAACCTATGGTGCAGCTTGGGTCCATCCTGCTGAAAGGCATCTTCTTTGGTGAGGGGCAATGATATGACTAGACAAAAAGAGACAAAATACATTAGAAAATATTCATCAAGCTGAAGGGCTAGATAATGTGTTAGAACTGCGGGGCATTGCATACACTTCATGGCAGCGACAACAGCGAATAAGATGTATTCTGCATCATTTGATGAATGAAATCCTATTTATCTGCTGTCACAGCATCCATCAATTTACAACTCTGGTGTGTTGTCACATTGTATACCACTGCATGCAAAAGCATAAAACAAAGTTACTATACAGCACCGTGTGCTGATTTTTATGTATGGGTCCTGAAATATTCAGGCTCACAAATACCTGATCCCGTATTTGCCGTATTTCTCTTAAGTGGCAGCTTCACACATCTGAGCAGCAAATAAATCAGCAGATAGGGACTCGGTAATTGGGCCATGGGCTGCTTTAAGATTCATACCCTTAAGTACTAACAGAAACTATTAAATTCACATTACTGGGGCCCCAGTCAGCTCGTCTGTGTAATTTCACATTACCTGGAGAGGGAAATCGCTGGTGCTGACATCCACAAAAGACTGACAGTAATGAGGGTCCATGTAAATCAAGCTGTCATCTGCAAGGACAAAACAAAAGACAAGTTATTCAAAAACATCGGATTATTACAAAAACGTGCTTCTCTCCAATTTCTATGCAGAGTAGCTCAAAGTCACCCGCTTGGTCTACTGTTAGGCTTGTGTGCGTCAAATATGCCTCCCAGAAGGCTGTTGCTTTTTAATATCCACCACGGTGGATTAAACTCTGCATAATCACATGCGTTTGTACAAGCACATTCTTTACACCCACAAAAAAAGAGGTTGTCATTTAATTTTTGTGGGGGGGGGGGGGATTACTTTTACAAACACACAATTATGTTCAACCATTTGCATATGATAAATGCGGCGCTGTACCGCGCCTTGGCAGGGAGAATGTATCGCTTGTCATTTAGACATCATCCACCACTGTATTTCAAATTGGGAAAATGTAAATGCGTAAATATTGACTGCCAAGATGTACAACTGAAGGTTCCTCCTGGCTCCTGAAGGTGATGAAGAGTGGCTCACTTTGGGGCCCCGCAGGAAATTTAATGCATGCCTCCTATGGAAATCAATTACAGCTCACAACTTGGGAGGTTTACTTGTGATAAATGGGAGAGGCTTTGATGGGTCAGAGAGAATAAAGTAAGCCCTGCTTCACTTGCTTCCATCTCCACTCCTCTCCGTTTTCCTCACGCAAACAGGAATACATTAACTTACTTTGTCTCTCCACATAGGAAGGGTATATTATGCAAAATAATCTGTTATTCACCCCAGCCTCTCTCTGTGTGTCTTTCTCTGTTTTGCATTTAAGCTAAGACTAACCTTGAAATCCTACAAAGTAGCAGGCCTGTTTGGGCTTCCCTCCGATGATGCCTATGCAGTACTCCAGACTCAGTATTCTCTAAATGCAGAGACAGGGACAGAGAAATACAAAGTACATCTGACTGGGAGCCTAAATACTTTGATTTTGTTTCCCCACATACTGTATTTCAATGAGAGTAAAACAGACATTTTAAACTCATCAACCCCCACAGTAACCTATTCACAGAGTAATTACTCTTACTTACTTAAGCCCTGTGAGTGTATATGTGATCAAACACCAAAAGAGTTCAACAAACCACCCTGACCTACATGTATCCCTCACCTTTACAAAGTTAAAATAGTCAGGGTTTGTCTTCTCCCCCCCCAGCCGCACCGGGATGAGGATGATGACAGCGCGGCTGTCTGACAGGGCGGAGGCGGACACTGGTTGGTCGCTCTGTGGGGAGGGAGGGGCATCGGATCTCTCAGCTGAGGCCGGCCCTGCTCTTGGTGCCCTGTGGCTATCGATGACATCAGCACTGTACACTACGGAGGATCAATAACACAAAAGTCATTTGTCTGTTTCCATATCTGCCCCGTCAGTCAATCTGCAATTCTGTCAACGTCATTAGAAAGAACGGTTAATGAACAGATGATTATGGTTTTTTTTTTTTTTGTATGAGATAGACAGTTCTTATTTCTCATAATTGTCTGCAAGATTTCCAAATATATGCATATTTTCAGTAAAAGTGTGATTCATAAATGTCACTTCATCATCTTGAAATATTTCACAGTTTGTCTTTAAATGTCTGAATGAACAGCAAACACCATATCTCAAAACCTTTCGTAAAATGAGATAACGTCTCCAAAGTCCCTGTGTTGTCCGACCAAACATCCAAAACCCAAAGAGATTAAATTCATACTGATACAACACAGATAAAAGCAGCAAATTCTGCCACTTTGAGAAACAGGAAATAGTGCATGATTAGCATATTTGCTTGATGAATGACATCAAATATTAACAACAGATTTTCTAAATTGTTAACTGTTATTTTGACTGACATTTGATTAATTCCATTTTGTACAGACTGTCTTTGAGGTCGAAAGCGCACAAGTTGAATTCGCTCCCATTTTTCTCTGCGACTCTCTAATATCAGACTCATAACACGGCAAGACACTCGCTCTCACACCAGCTTTCTTCTGCTCTGGCTATTGAGAAGACAAACATGAATCAAAAAAACAAGTTATTGGGGTTAAGAAGAAGTTGGAGTGGGACGTTATAGATTTGGAGTTGATGTATTTGCTGGGTAATAGACACAGTGAGTCTCCTGTCACCCCTCTAAGCTACTCCGTAGTCTCCCAGTGGCAGAGAGAGAGATGGAAAAAGAAGGGTCAGTTTGGGCGTTGTGCCCAGTATCCTGTTTGTATCAGCAGCAGCCTCATCTTTCATACCTGTGCAGTCCTGGGAGACATAAGCGGTTATACCCGCCAAGCCAGGGTCCATCGCCTCCTCGACAGCCTGCCTAAAGACAGAGACAGAGAGGAGAGAGAGAGAGAGAGAGAGAGAGAGAGAGAGAGAGAGAGAGAGAGAGAGAGAGAGAGAGAGAGAGGAGGCAGAGAGAGTGAGGGGATGTAAATGTCTACATGCAGAGCTTATGCTAAGTTAACATCACGAGTATATACTGTACATCACCATCAACTTAATTGTAATGATTATACAATGGCCAGTTCACACATGGACAGTTCCGCAAGGGTTTATAAAAATCCTGCTGGCTCTTAGTAATATCCGTACATACAGATCTGTTTTACACCTCAAGCAGGTCAAAGAAGATGTTTTGCATCCTTATCTTGACTAAAATACTTCTCATCAATGGCTGAAATAAAAGGACATTAACATTAATAGTGCTGAAACTATTTAGTTGATTGACAGAAAATGAATGATGATAATTTTGTTGCACTGATTGATTACTTAAGTAATTTATCGAGTAAAACTAACAGATACAGCTTCTCCAATATAAATGTTTGCTTGCTTAATTTTACTACCAGTGCTATTTTAATGAAAGTTTATCTACTAAATTATAGATAAAATTAACATAATTGCCCCCCAATAAAATCGGTGTATTAATCGATCAACAAACATGATTGTTAATGCTGTGCAGCAATAAATCATTATGTGAAAGCCAGAAGTGGGGTGCATGTGAAATGTGAAATGCAATGTTTAAAATAGCAGTTACTCTGAAATCCACGTTTTGAGACTTACTTGAGGATGTGTGCCACCACAGCAGGCCCATACCAGTCCCCCGCCTGTTTCCCCATCGTCAGGCCCATGCGAACCAGCCTGTGGAGGCCGAACTGAGCCGAGGGGCTGTCCCCGAACCAGGACACCAGAGTGCGGTGGTACATCTCTTTCAAATGTGCATCTGCCTCCTCTGTGGATCCCCGGGCCTGGGCTTGGTGCGTGGGTGGTGATCCTTCATCGGAGGGCCTGGGGGAACTTTGCAGAGACGCCTCCAGAGAGGCCACCAGGCGCTTGGCTGCAGTGGTAGTCCACGTCTCTGTGTCTAAAGGCTGGAGCGACATCGCCTCCGACCAGGTCCAGTCTGTGGAGGAATAAATCATCAGCTACAATCAACATTAGAGACCAAAACCTAAGTAAAGTTGCCTTTGAATACACATGTTATTAGGCTTAAGAACTTTACTTCTTAGACCAGTATCCTATACTGCATTTAAGAATGTATCAATTGTTGAAGAATAGGCTGCCACTCAAAAACACCTTTGACAAAGAAAGAAAGTTCTAGAGATGAGATTTAACACACAATATTGAAGGAGATTAAAGAGATAGGATAGCATAGGTTCAAAACAACTGTAACATGACAACACAGAAAAGAGATGAACAATCCATACGTAAAATAGAGGTTGTATTTGTAGTGCAAGAAAAGCTCACAGGTTTGTAATGAAATATACTATTTGACCAGATATCTATGAGGCTCTCTGAACCTGATCATTCAACGCATCAAAGTTAAATTTACAGCAAACAAAAAGTCTTTAAGAACTTGTGAAATTTAAGCTTTTTGCCTTAAACAGACAGAACCTTGTGCGCTTCAGTCACAGAATAGGTGTCATTCTGTTCAATTATAAGTTTGAGTGTCCCAGTATTTCACTTTAACGGTGCCTTAGCCTTACAAACAGGGTGGGAGCCGAAGGCGGAGAGGAAGGGAGTGGCCCAGGCCATAAAATGGGCCAGAGTAGAGTCTAAGGCATTAACAAAATGACCTTGATCCAAAGTGAATCAAAGTGAAATTGATCAATAAATATCCTTAAGTGGCCATTAGTCATTTTATAGAGAAATATTTCATTAGTGACATATTTTAGATTGGACAGAAGAACAAGTTTTAAATATTGTTTTCTAAATGACTGCATTAAACTGGCAGTCATCTCATTGTGTGGACCGGTAAAGTCTCGGACACTTCAGAGACAACAGCTCTGACAAAGATATGAGGAATTCACTCATCTTAAATGCTTTGCATCAACTAAATTAAACTTGCCCTTTCAGAGGATGAGGAAACTGTCTAAACTGGCTACAAGTTTGGCTTCCTGCTTAGAAAAAGAGGTACTGAAAAGAAATAAAGAAGACGAACATGGGATCCAATCGCAATGCATCTCAAAATTCTTCTTCAATGATCTGTAATCTGATTCACTCTTGAAATTTCTTTATAACTAGGACATACCATATCTTTATGCTGCCCACATCTTCAGCCACTGTAGTTACCATGCTGGATACATTTTTAGATCTCCGGATCATTACAAAAAAGGCTTTTGCTAATTAATGAATGCCCACCTCCACATTCATATCAAGTAGTTCAAAAAATGAACACCTGGGAGCTGCAGGGTCACAACCAGAATTTCCAGCTAGTCTGAGGATTCAAATCAGCTTCCTTACAGCCACAAGCCCCCTTTCTCTAACCTTGTGAGCAGGGGTTCCCAAACATTTTGGCTTGTGAAATAAAGAAATGTCTGTGTGTGTGTGTGTGTGTGTGTGTGACACCCCCCCCCCGTGAGTTGTTCATTATGCCTGGAAGTGATGAGCAATTTAACCAATGCAATTTTCCCCACTAAAATTGTCAAATAAATGATTTGGTCTCATCTAGCTTTTCACAAAAAATTGGAAATTATTAAAGTAAAGCCAGAAAAAAAAATGATCCTACTTTTGTAAAGAAGAAATATATTTAGCATTCCCTCCTATCCCTTTGAACGTCTAGGGTCGGACCATAAACTCAGGCGTGGTCACCATCTTTCTACTCACCTCTGCCCAAGAAGTGCAGAATAAGTGCCTGCGCCAGCATCATCTGCCCGGCTCTCAGCATGCAGCCCCAGCCGCAGTCGGAGGTCAGGGTGGAGCTGGGCAGAGGAGGTAGCTCCTCCCTGTAGGTGAGCCACACTCGGGACGCAAAATCCTTGCGGAAAGCCTCAATGTTCCCCATGACGGAGTCCTCGTCGCCGGCTTCGCAGCAGGCTTCTGTGGCGCTGTCGTCATCTGGGGCAAACAAATGACATGTGATCCAGATGATAAATCTACTGGTTAAAGTTAATCATGTATTCATTTTAAGAATCCTACTACTATTTCTGTTTTGGACCTAACGTAAAAGCTTGTGTCTCATTTCAAATCAAATAATTGCACAATGGAATTTTTTTATTTCTGCAAAAGGGCTGTGCACCAAAAAAATAATGACCCAAATAATGTCATCCTTTGTGGTCCCTGCAATTAAATCTGAAATGTCCTCACCAGACCCCATATGGCTGTTACAGTAATGACATTAAATGGTGTGTATGTCAAGCCTTTGGATGTGTTTGCATGTGAATGTCAATATAGGGAATGCAGTCCGTGTGTATTGTAATTGTAGTCGTATGCATGCGCACTATACCTTCAGCCTTAAAATGGTAAACTTTTCCGAGGAGAAGCACCGGGGAGTTTCTACTGAATGAGGTCTTCGATTTCAGAGCCCAACCTAAGACACACAATAAAGAAGACAATGGGTTACGTTTAAGTTGCTGGTTAAAAACCAAACTCGTCCTGTTGTGACGACCTCGCCTCTTTTGGCTACTGAGCCGGCTGCTTGTCTGCGTGGTTGGGGCGAATTCGGAACACCTGTGCCCAGTGTTCCCGGTCCTATAAGAGGGCACCTCACCTGTTCCAGGTAGTCTTTCCTTTTACCACACTACACTCAGGCTTTCATTCATGCGTACACATTAGCACCACTGACCGCCACACCTCATGAGGTTTTGACATTTTTATTTGTTGTAACTCCTCTTGTTATTTGTCATGGTTTTGAGCCGGCCATGACACCGTTTACTCAGTTTGCTGGCGCACCTGCTCTACCACACCCATCATTCAGTGATCTGGGTCAGTCCCAAGATTTCTGCCTACTTGCTCTTCTTATCCTACTTACTCCATATTTTGCTTTTCTTCCTGTTACTTAAAAAGGTAGATAATAACCATGGTGTTTTAAATAAACACACTTTAGTCTTACTGAAAGAATACAATGTGGCACAGAATGACATAGAGCTATTTTAAGGGCTGACTCAACAGCAGTAGGTTGTCGTCTCATTGAATTCTGATGCTTGTTATTATTTGTGCCGACTCTTGTGTCTGCAGTACATGTTGTTGATCTCTCTCTGTATCTTCTTTGACTCGTATATAGACATTGTATGTTGTTGAACAGCATATTTATGTTTACCTGTCTTTGTTCAGCTGCATTGTCCTTGTTTTTTTTAGCTGTATGTCTATTTCTATCCTCCTGGAAATTGATCTTTGAACTGTGTGTAAGTATAATGAAGGACACAAAAAGTCAAAATATTTTTATGTGTACACATACTTGGTCAATAAAGCTGATTTTGATTTCACTTGTACAAATTCCATTTTAAGTAACATAACTCCGGTCAAGAAAATAAGATTGAAAGCTATATGGACAGGTCGAAACAACACAGCAAGTAATGCATGAAAGCATTAGAAATAAAGTGAAGACAGGACTACGCTTGGGTGGCAGGGCTGTGTGTCAGTCGAGTGTGTGTGTGTGTGTGTGTGTGTGTGTGTGTGTGTGTGTGTGTGTGAATGACTTACTGTATTTCACATTGTGCCACACAGAGAAGAACTTTGTCTTCAATGTGTCCACCTCGTCGCTCCTTTTATTCTCCATTTGGACCAGCAAGGAATGCAACCCATTCCCAAACCGCGCACACACCCTAGTGCACAAACACACATGCGAACGCACAGAAGAGAGTGTGCATAGTTCACTGGATCAGCATCACTTCCTAAAGGAAAATTACGTGAAATCACAGCTTGCAGTGACAGTTACCTCGGAACTTCCTCTTCGATCCAGGTTTTTTTTCCCCACTTGTAGCTTTGTACAAACGTTACAACGTTGTATATTGTTGTAATACCAATAGTTTAACGCGGTGTATCGCCCATGACTTGCCGCATAACTTAAAACTGCTCTGCGGTCTGCAATGTTTACACATTGAGGAAGTAGAAGAGTGGAAACTCGTGATCTCGCGGGGTTTCCGTTGGGGCTGAGAAGACGCTCGATGTAGAAGTCCAGGTAGCCCGAGCGAGCGGGGTTTGCCGACGATTCACTGGTGTCTGGAATTAAAGCTCCGCTCGTTTGAGTTATTCCTTGTGACAAAACATACTTTGTCGTATAAAGGCGCAGTCTGTGATGCAGGCAGGGCGACGAATAAAAAGACAGAGGCGTCTATCTCATCAAAACACATTCAGCACGTCATCTCCAATTAACATCATCATTTGCCTGTGAATGAATAACCCATCATTCCACATGCATGGTCACATCACACACCAGAATAAACATACACCATAGGAATTTTAACATGGTGATTATTTTTTTAACTGATCACTCGCATCAAGTTTTTAAGCAATTTCTTAGATTATTTTTCTTTCTTTCATTTTTTAAATATACTGTTACGTTTTAATATTCAGCATGATATCAGTTGTAATTTGTAACTTTTTAAAACGTTGAATGAATTGTGTTTTTGATGTGGATTTCTATGTGTTGGTCTCTGCTTGTAGTACTGTATATTTATTTATTTTTCGTACACATGCTTCTCTTGAAAAAGTTCTACGAGACTAAACATATTACAAATGTGTAATGTTAAATAATTACTAGATAAGGAAAATCGGATATTATATATCTATTGAAGAATGGTAAAGATGAATAAAGACTTTTATTGAATGCTTGCAAAGTGGTTACACTTGAGGGAAAGTGAATAAAGTAAATATAAAAACCATTTAACAACAAATAAAAACATTACTGAAAGTATACTTATATTATAATCTAATGAATGCAAAATATTTAGATTTTTATAACTAATTTGAGAATGGGAAAAAAACAGATACAAATATTTTAACTTTGACTTTATGTTGTATTTATTTGGTATTGTGTAGATAGGACAACAAGGCTCTCCTATTTGGTCTTAATATCATACACTATTATATCATATTTGTCTAATCTCTCAGGTAAAATCATAAAGTATGAAATAAAAATGACAACATAGAAGTATGGGAATGTCTTGAAATGGATGTCCACGGTGCTCAAGGAGGAATAATCAAAATAACAATGAAAAAATAAACAAAACTAAATGACATTTATAAAAAAGGGTGACTTTGATGTAAAATGTATGTAAAATCTTTAACAGTGTAGTGTAGCTTTATTCCTCGCAGTACGGTGCGCAATAGATTTTCTTTGGGGTGTGTTCTGTTGCAAACCATTACTGCCATTACGGTAACGATCCCATTCTCCCGTTTTCCAGTTTCCCCTGTGGCCGTAGTGAGTGACTGGAAAGCCGAGTCTGCCTCCTGCAAGCCTGCAAGCCTGCCTGGGAATTTTAAAGCACATCAGCGGCCACTGCCATGGCTGAACGCCGCGCCTTTGCCCAGAAAATCAGCAGGTAAAAGACTCGAGACTCCGATACGAGCTCGTCAAAGGCGCACTGAGCACTATGTCGCCTCTATGTAGGTCGCCCTCAGACCAACCACTGAGGGAACCCTGTGGAGGAGGCCCAGCTATCAGAGCTAGCCGCTCGTTAGCCACATCGGTAGAGATGCTCAGACCCACCCAGACAGACGGCGTCACCGCTAGCTTCTAGTCTCTCTCCCCCCTGAATGCTAACAAAGGAAGGAGACGTTACATTGTTGAAATAAATGTATTACAGGCACTCTGGTTTTCGTTCGTTATCCGCAATGAAAGGGACTCACTGTAAATTGAAAACCGTTAATTTTTGACAGTTGGCTAACCTGCCTACTGTAACGTTAGCTAACGATGGGATGCTAGTGGGCACTAACGGTAGAGATGAGACTGAACTTTAAGTTGTGTTTTAAGCGAGAGCCCATTGACAAGAGAGATCATTGTAATACAGTAAGACTGGAAACAAAAGCCTCCATCAGCAGCTAGTGAACAGCGATGTATTAATCTCTCCATCGCCTCTCAGACAGATCAAAGTACGTTAATCTCTTTAACAAAGGTCTTTGTGCGAGCTGTCAAATACCATCATCCCAGCTGATAGATGGATAACGTTAGAGATATAGATAGAATATATATATATATATATATATATATATATATATATATATATATATATATATATATATATATATATATTTGCTGATTATTGAATTCACAGTCAAGTCAATCTTGTAAATATTGAGAGAAAACTAATATGTGTCTGCTTATTGATTCAGTTTTTCCTCTGAATCAATGTAAGAAATCTTTACTTTTACACCCTTCTGGAGAGGTTATCATGATGACTTGGAGTTGGAGAAGAGGAATATCTGTTATAATGCATTTTGTTTTCTATATGTAAAAACTACATTATTGCAGAACATACACATGATCTTCTCTGTTTTCCTCTCTTCGACAAAACATTGCATGTTGGATTCTGAAGTTGTCTGCTGTGATCGTGGATGTCAGGATGTTTACTTCTTTGTTGGTGTTGCCTGCATTTCTATTATAGTGTGAATCCAGTCCCCGTTAATCAAAACCACGTCCTATTATTGAGAGTTTTCGTATTGATTTCTGTGGATTGAGAATGCCCCATCTCATGGCAGGTTGTTTACACAGGATGAGGCTGAGATGCCTGATGGGATGGTCAGCTGAGGAGACTACTTTCTGACACAGTTTCAACAGAAAATAAGCATTTTTAACGTCACAAAGGTGGTTGGCTGTTGTATCACAACTATACTGTGCAAGTCTTTGTGATATTGTATCCACGTCATGCATTTGTGCAGTTGAAATCTCAGTGAAACTTCCCTAAACACAAGGTTAAAAATGTGTTTGTTGTTTTCAGACTCTTTTAATGTTGCTCACGTTCATTTACCCATGGGGAAAAAAGTGCCTCAATTCCACCTTTTTAAGTGATTTTTAGCAATGGAAGTAAGTTAGCTTATGTCACACATTGAGGCAAACAAACAAAGTGACTAAAGTTGTGTTACTAAAATGACTTTAACCCAGAAGTTTACACCACATGTCTCAGTTGAATGGTTCTCTTATAGTATGATCTTCAAATGCCACCATTTAATATATTTTTCCCCGGGAGTTATCGGTGTTATTACCATCCTCAAGATAGAGACGGCTGTTTGTTTACCCGAGTTATTCGTCTGTGCCAAGTGAAGGTCTGGTGGGAGGACTGTGGAATGTGTTTGTCGGTTCAGTGCCATTGCCTTTCTCCGTTTGTGAACAGCGCTGCACTGCAGAGGCCCACTGGATCTCTACTACAGCACGTTATCATGTTCTTCTAAATGAAGTTCATCTTAAAACTGGCCAGTCGGGCCATGCAGCTGTCATTGTAGGAGATTAGCTTAAACCTCCTCTGTTTTGCAACATTGCATTTCTTTATGATGGAACAGTGATGAACTCAGCACTACAGTGGCTTTAAGGGAAACCAGACTCTGTTCAGACATTTGCAGTTTTGCAACATTGCTGACTGGATCGCACCTAATCCTTACTCACCACCATTACTGTAACCTTCAAACTAGTCACTGTGATAGTGCTTTCAGAATGGAGAGCGAAGACAAACAGAAGATGGCTGTTGCTTATGAAGATAAGTAATGAATAAACATGGTTAATCCTAATGGTTGGATCCATACAGCCTCTGTGTTACCTGTGTAACGTCACCTTGTGCCTTCAGAGTTTTGAACCTCATCCGTGGTTCAAATTTGTTATTTGTTTGTGTCACTTTGGGCTACTTGCTGCGTTGTTGTTTTGTTCAAGGCAAAGGTCTGAGTGGTTTTCGGTGCTTGCTGTGATTTAGAGCACCTGTGTATGAGTGTGGCAACAGTAGCTGTTGAACAGCAAGAGCTTTGTGCTGACCACTGGGGTCCAGAGGTTTTTACTTGTTTCTTTCCTCTCTGTCTGGGTGGAATATAGGAGTTTGTCCGAAGCGACACGGTTAGACTATGAGACACAGAGAAAATCCTAATTGCGAGTAAAATTGTTCAAGTTAGGAAGCCTGATCTTTAAAAGCTTCATGTATTTCAGGTAAAAAATAGCAAAATCCAGCAGTCTTTTTTTTTTTTTTAATGCCCTTTTTGCAGCTAAAATGCTGAATACCACTTATCCTTAGGACTGAATGTATTTGATTGAATTATAAGGTAAAATTGGCTTTGAAAGTTTTCTGTTTATTCTCAGCCATAGGGGTGGGACAAATAGCACAAGTCATCGTGCGGTATATCTTGTGATACTGTTGGTACGGTGGCCCCGGAGCTGCGATTGTTTTCTCTTTTGATACGCACTCATATCTGAAATATAAAACTTTTTATTTTGTCTTCAGTTTTGCCTTTATTTAACAGTTCACAGTGTAGAGAGAGACAGGGAACAAGGTAAGAGATGTTGCAGAATTGATGTAGTATGACAATAAGCTCATGTTGCTTAATAAGCTATTTAAGGGGGTAATTCCCTCTTCAGTTCCACAGGTTTTAGGCTGTGTAATAGAAGAGTGCCTTGCAGTATCGATCATAATGTATCATAGCGGAGTATGTTTCAGCATTGTGTTTTGCAGAATCACCTGTTTTCTCCCATTGTTATTATTATTATGGTCAAACATTGTTACAGTATTGTATTGTTGTGATTCTCAGTCATAACAACAAAGCCAACAGTGTCTAGTTTGTGGATCATTACATAGACTTCTCTTCCACCCTCCCACCTCTCCTCTGTTTGCAGGACTGTGGCAGCAGAGGTCAGAAAGCAGATAGCTGGCCAGTATGGGGGGTCCCCGCAACTATTCAAAAACCTCAATGTCGGGGCCGCAACAAGCAACACAGTGAGTAGTCTCAGAGACCGGTGAAAGGCTGGAGCCTACTGTTGATATCGAGTCTTTGATCATCACACAAGTGTGACAGCTGCTGCTGCTGCATAGTCTGAAAACACAGCATAAATTACAATGACAGTGTCTCAGCTGTCAACAGTAGAGATGCTGTTGATTTTTCACATTAGGCCAAATAC